AGACTATTCCAAACCATTTTCTATGCAGCTGCCACAGGGGCTCTTCCTGGTGCAGGTCTGATGGAGTTCCACAGGGTGGAGACAGAGACACTCCTTGCAGAAGGAATGCAACAATTGCTACTTGCCTTACCTTGAGGCCACAGCACCTGACGTGCAAGTGCTTGTGAGTGACGGAGTTGGAGTATTCCAGAAGTTGAGGATAAGGAAGGCGAGAGCATGGATGGTCTGGGAGCTAAGTGTGGCCATGAAGAAGGCAGAGAGTGGAGAGGTATGGAGGGTTCTAACTTGGGCCGAGGGAATGTGATCCTAGGAAGGCTCCAGGTAGAGAACTCAGCTGCCTCTCTCTCCCAGCCAGGACTGCAGTCTGTGCCAGGTGATGCCAACAGTTAGGGGAGGATCGGGAGAGTCAGGTGAAGCCTGGGGAAGAAAAGGGTGATGCCTGGCCCTTCCATCATCACAGCCTCTGCTCTTTCTTCTGGGCCTCTCTCCCTCCAACTGCATAGCATTACTAAGCCATGGGAATAGATGGAGCATTTGACGTACCCAGTTAATCTCTTGAAATCTTCACACCATAACCCTGAGGGAATTATTATTATTCCCATTCCTCAGAGAGAAGAAATGGAGGCTGAGAGTGGTCACACTCACTCAAGGTCACAAAACAAACAACAAGCATTGGAGTAGAATGTGGCCTCGGGCTTTGCCAACTCCAAGCCTGTGCTGAGAGCAGAAGTGGTTTGGAAGCCTAAGTCCAGCCCTGTGCGGCAGCCCTGTTCAAGACACTCTGATTGGTCCTGAGTTCTCCTGAGGGGAAGATGTTTCTGACAGATGTTTCTTGGCATATGAAAATCCCTCAGGTCCACATGTGTGGGCCTGAGGAGGAGAACGTCTGTCTCTCTTACAAAGCCTCCTGGGCCAAAGGAGAGCTCTGCTCCTCCAAGGTGGGCACCAAGCACTCTACCTTGAGAGGGGGGCTGCCTGGGTGCAGCTGGATGTCTGACTGAACAGATTCTCGCCAGCCCCTTGGGGACATCAGTCAGGCTGGCTGCCTTTGGGTAGAATTAAGAATTCGGCCTGTCGCTACCTGATAGTAGGACTACGGATAATTACTCAGCACACATTAGGTCAAATTTCACTCAAAAGAACTTTGTAGAGACCTCTAGGTTTCCCTCTCTGTCTTGAATTTTGCTAATATTAATCATTTCAAAGCTAGAGATTTTAAATGTGGTTGGCACCCCAGCTCCCTGAAGAAGGGACTCAGTAATTTTTCATTCTAAAGGCCTCTATAAACACAGGAAGGAAAGGAGGGGACTTTCCTGCCCACAACTCACCACTTCCACCCGCCCTCGGCCCCCTCCCTCCACAGCCTTCTCCACTTCCATCCCTGGTCCTTATGGCAGATGTCTTGGGGTTTAGCTAAGGGAGATTCCTTGGAGTGGGTGGACGTTTGATGTGGTTAGGTGACTGGAAAAGAAGAATAATTGCCACATCAACACATGCTACTTTGTTATACAGTAGAATAGGAAAATAGCTTTGTTGAACAGAATTCCCTATTAAAATGGAAACTTGCAACCCTCTGGGACATTTAAGGCTCTGACATAAAGCAATTTCTTCCTCGTTCTGTTAAGCTGCATCCCCAATGTTCAGCACCTGTGAAAACCTGCTGTTATTATGTAAATTTTCATTCATTTGTGGACTATCCCAGGGTCAAAGATCCCCAATCAGGTTCCAGCCTTTCTCGTTAGCTTCATCCTCAAGATTTATGTAGTGTTCTCTCTCTAGCTCTTCTCTCCTAGCCATCTGTAAGCTTGCAAAGGTCAGAATTCTTGCAAGATTCGTTCCTGTCCAAGTCCCCAGGTGTAAAATGTGGCAGGCATCGTTTTGAAAGGAACAAATGAACTCAGCATGATTTTTAAATGAACAAACAAGAACAGGAAAAAAAAAATGTCCTGATTTCAAATGGAATCCATGGAAAGAAATCAACAGGTGCTAAGCACTTACTCTGGGAATCAGGTATTTGGGCATAATTTCTCATTTTACCTTCACACAAACCATCTTGAGAAATAGGGCCACTAACAAATGAGAAACTAGGAAACTGGGCGTGGTGCTGCACACCTATAATCCTAGTGGCTGGGGAGCGAGGTGCTAAGCAACTCAGAACTGGAGATGTGGCTCAATGGCCAAGTGCCCCTGAGTTCAATCCCTGGTAACCACCCCCTGCCCCAAAAAAGAGAGAGAAACTAGGGCACAAAGAGGTGAGTAGCCAACTCAAACTTTCCCTGTCAATCAGACACCTCATGTGGCTCTATCATTCTGCGGTATCTTTCAAATCCTAAAGGGCAGTGAAGCAGTGGGGACCCAGGCTGCCCATTCAAATCCATCAAGGCTGTCACTGTCCAACAGCAATTATGGTCCTCGTGTGTGTAACTACCAGACCATGTTAGGGATATCTTCAAAAGGTCCACACTCCTTCCCAAGAGCATGGATTTCCCCGTCAATCCAACTCTGGCAACATTTACCCACACCCTCCCCCTTTCCCCATTTATTCCTTTCATGAGCCATTTCAACCTCGTTTCTAACCTCAAATCCAAATATAAAGAATTTTTCCCTTCCTTAGTCCTAAAACTGAAAGCTGGTTCTGCATTTTTGTTTTCTTCAAACCCTTCTTTATTCTGTAATAATAAAAATGCTGTATTTCATCCCAGGGCAGGCTGCGTGCCAAAATAAATAGCACCTTGGATTTCCTTGAAAAGAGAGCTTGGCTCAACACACAACCTCACTGCCACGGGAATTCTTGGAGAATTCAACCTCACAAAGTCAAATATTTAGCAAGGTAGTACACCCAACAGCAACCCACCCATCCCTGCACCATCGCTTGCAAAGACAAAGCACCCTTTCCAAAAGAGAGAAGAAAAAAAAATCATCCATACCTGGGACCGATCCTGCCAAGATGATGGGAGCTTCGCTTTCCCCATCCCAGGACCCCCAAACCTCCAAATGGAAATGTTTTTGTGCTAAGAAGCAGGAGGCATCTGACAGCTTGTCATTGAAATGGTTGAAGCCCCGGCACTAGAGGAGGGCAGAATCTAAGATTTTTGCCAACCGAGTTTTCCAGCGCGCTCACTTCCCGCCTCGAGAAACAGGGAGATAACTCATGCTCAGTGAAGAACAAATTAACACAATCTCATTAACCCCATTCCCACATTTTCCTGCAAGTGTCTGTCATGTTTTGCCTGCATTGCAGCAGCTGCATCTGGAGCTCCACGAAAAAAGAAAGAACAGTTGGGGGCAAAGCTTGTGTGCACATTACCTTCCCCAGCATCCTCCCCCTGCACAGCCTGGAGCGGGAAGGACTTCTCCCTCCCTCAAAGCCAGCTTGGGGCTGCAGG